GCCCGCCTTTACGCACCACTGCCGGTGCCCGCCTTTACGCACCACTGTCGGTGCCCGCCTTTACGCACCACTGCCGGTGACCGCCTTTCTTGCACTTGTTTCATTTTTACTTTAAAACAGCGCAGACCCAAGCTGGGGACCAAGCATTCAACACCCCCACCCTGTGGGACATCTGGGGAGAAGGTTGCAGGTGCTGTCGACAACGCTCTCCCCAGCCAGTCGAGGACAAGGTCCCATCCATGACAGTGACTTCCTAGTAACTCCGGGGGAGGGGCAGCGGGACCTTCCAAATATACTCCACTAAAAATGATTTTGAAATACTTAAAAAATAGGCTTTCAAAACTGAGCTGTTGGATATTTATATCTTTCTGCAAGGCAAGGAAATTAAAATGAGCCAACTCTTATCACAGCATATGTAGTTCCTTTCTCCAAACTGTGTCCTTGTAACAAGTGTTAGTACTAAAAATAATATTTTCCCTCTATTGGTGTCTAAGATTTAACTGATGTCTCAACACCATAAAGGGACAATGGCTTCAAACATCTGCAAACAAGTAAGAAGCTGCTCCGGGTATCGAACCCATCCCGCTAGATCCTTCATGGCGTCAGTTACCACTGCCTTTCCCCACACCTTCAGACACTTGCTTGTTCTGGATGCCAGGGTTGACGATGCTCTAAATCCCACACAGCAACCTGCTTTTCTCTCAACTGTACTACACCTACCTCTCAGCTGGTTATAACCAGCCCCGTTTCTGCAGAAAGAGAAAGAAGAGGGATGTGTGGGAAGAGTCACTCTCTAAGAGACCCCTTAGGTCCCTGCCAGTTGCAGTTCTCTGGAATCCTACTATCCCTGGCCCTGATCACCTGGATTCAGAAAGGTCAACAGTCAATGGTTATAAATCTGTCCTTAACAGAAACCATGCAGGACTTACCTTCTCCCACTTTAATATAGATGTTTCTTGCTATCTTGAGTTCCGTGAATGAAGTCACTGCTCCGTATACCTTCCGGGCCCAGTTTAGCAGATGTTCGTTTCCTTGAGGAAAAGTCCTCTCTTCTGTGTCTGCTGTTGAGGAGAAGTTTCCTGATGAAAACTGGACCTTAGAACCCTTCGACACCTGAAGCAAGCAGAACGGCATAGTTAACATGGCATAGTCACCCAGAGTCAAAAAGAACTAGAGAAAGCGCTGGCCAGATTTACCCATCATACCTAACTTGTCTCTTCTCTCCGCTATGCAAGCAGATGTAAGAGAGGCAAGCCCTCTGAGAGCTGACTCAAGTAACTCCCAAACCCACTTCTCCCAGATAATCCCAGGCAGGATATCCCTTCGAACTTTGAAAAAGCCTGTGATGAGAAACTGGGAACTGGGAACAGTCTGAATCATTGCTATTTCGCACAAGTCTCCATGAGAGGCCCACCCACCTTTCAGGCACCATGGGTCTTCATTAATACTGGTGCTCCCCTGTGGACTGAACTGGACATTTAGGGGAAACACTGCACCTCTCTCAATACTGACAAACTTTAAAAATTTTGACTTTGTCATTTCCTAAACAGCAGGCATAACTCTTTGCGTGGAATTTTTTCTAGATTGGGGACCATTAGTAATGCCACTAACATCGAGCAATCCACTAACAAACTTGTTGTGGATGCTGACAGTACACACTGGTTGCCTGTAGAAGGTTGTGGTGGAGAGAGTAATGACCAAGTGTCCTTACTACTCACACATCTGCCTGACTCCCTAGTATGAATCCCCATGTACCTTGTCTTATGATATATGTCAAGTTTAGTTTCTTTTTTGTTTCAATATTCATTTACTTTATGCATATATATATATATATGTGTGGGCACATGTATGTATGTGGGTACATGTATATATGTGGGCACATGTATGTATGTGGGCACATGTATGTATGCGGGCACATGTATGTATGCAGGCACGTGCTGAGGTCAGAGGACAACTTGGGGGTTGTCAGGCTTGGCAGCAAGCGCCTTACCCACTGAGATACTTCACGGACTCCTGAAGGTTTCTTAAGGAAGCCTTTCTGGTCTGTACCAGCTTAGGAGGCCTGTTTTGATGTTGTCTGTTCATGTCAAAGCTCACCATCCATCTTCCTGGGTCACACTAACCATGCCACCTCCGGGTATCTCTGCTGGGGAGCAGCCACACATGGGCACCGCCTCACACCATCTGAGGCTTTCCCCCCTTTAGCCCTGCAGTCAAACCTTCTTGCTGCCAGAAAGCACTTCCATATTGTTATTCAGCTTGTCACTGAAAGAACAAAGCCTGAAGCAGTGGGGCACGGACTCTGACCCACTGCCTGCACTGTCTGGGTGCGAAGGCAAGGATCTCTAGATAGTTGTTGCCTGTGTTCTTTCTTGTGTTACAGCTATAAAATTTAACTCTGGGTTTTAAATGCATTATGAGAAGCAAGCATTTTTCCTTTCAATGTGAATGGAGAGATATATCCTACTGGTGCATTCCAAAGGCACAAAAGTAGAAGAGGCCAGCAGCTATGCAGAATGTAGCCTGAAGTCATCAAAGAGCCACGTGACTGTGAGGCCCAGGAAGGGGTCGCTTCTGCTGGTCTGTCTGTCTTCCCTGCCACACACCATCAACCTGGCCTCAGCGCGGTCTCCTTCCTAGGCAGCCCCAAGGTTCATAAACTCAGGGCTGAGGAATTTGGAAGCACAGCTACCGCCACTCCTCAGGCACATTCCAATAAGAAGAAAGCAAAGCTGCCAGGGGTAGGGAGGTGTCCCTGACTGCAGGTCAGTGGAAATTTCCTGCTTCCGCAAATGGTCAGTCAGCACCCTCCCCTCAACCGCCAGTTCCACGAGCCCTCTGCTATGATGGAGTTACAGACGACATCCTTCACGGGTGACCGCCATGATCCTCAGGACCAGCGATGACTATAGATTCCACGGTAGAGAAAGGAACTGGAGAGAGACGGTGTCCCTCAGCACCAGGACAAGACCAGTGCATGAGGCTTGCGACTTCCAGACACTGTGGGCTTCTGTTCTAACCCTTGAAAGATCCCCACATTTGCTGCTATGACAGGGTTATATTCTTCCTTTCAAAATGACATTCGCATTGTGTGTGTATGTGTGTATGTATGTGTGGTGTGTAATGTGTGTGTATGGGGTGTGGTATATGCATATGGTGCGTGTGTATGTGCTGTGTGTGTGTGTTTATGAGGTGTGTATGTGGTGTGTGTATGTGATGTAGTGTGTGTGTGTCTGTGTGTGCTGTGTATGTGGTGTGCCTGTGTATAAGAAGCCCTTGATAAAGCTATCTCTCCAGCCCTTTTCTCTTTCTTCCCCTAAGATTCTGTTTGCTAGTCTGAGTCAGGCCTACCAACCAAGGCAGAGAATTCAATCCTCAGTCCTTGGTTACACACACCTTCAAATATTTTGCCGATGTCAGCGGGCTTTTATCATGTACTCAGTCTTTGACTCCTCCCCCAGACACCACAGTTGTCCAATCATTACCAGCTCAGAGTCTGACTGCGTGCAGTACTAGAGCAGGACTCAGGGTCTCTTTGAATGGGCAGGACTGAATTAAATTCCTGGCTGGTGGTGAAGAGGTCCAGTTCTATTTCCTTCCTCAGCTGGTGCAGAGAAAGTTTCAGCCTCTAAAAAAGCAGTTGGTTCCCCTGGCAGCCAGCCCCCAACTGGATGCTGTCTAGGACCCCCCAGTCACCAGTCATCACAGTAACATAGGCGACATCACTTTGGGGACACTCAGGGCTAGGAGATGTGTGCCAGACACAAAGAGCAGAGACCAAACTATTTCCTGGTGCACCACAAAAAGTGAATGTGAAACTGTCGTTTTAAAAGAACTAAAGGGTAAGCACAAGGACTTTGTATTTGGATAAAATAACAGAAACTTCCTACAGCTTTATTTATTTATTCCATATTATTATTTATTTATTCCATTGTTCATCCTAACCTTGGTTCAGGGTCTTTGTCAGGCTAACACATTTCTGGCCTTTTATCTTAAACACACACACACACACACACACACACACACACACACACACATGCCACACAGCAGCCAATCCCATCCCTTCAACCATATTCCACATTGTCACCTGGAAAATCTTCCTAAAATGCAAATAAGTGAGAATATAGAACAGCCGAGCATCTTAACACGGGTGGGGAAGAGGGTGTCTCTGCTTCCCTCCATCCCAGGGTTCACCATAAAGAACCAATGACAGCCGCAGAGTGCTCCACAGACTACCTGTTCTCGGGTCCTCCGTCCTTCCCTGCCTGGACCACTGTGCTGAGCCTTCCTCTCCTGCCTTCTCCCAGGCCCCTGCTCTCTCCAGGACTTCCATGCCTCCTGCCCATCCCCTTGACAAAGAACAAGAACACCTGAGGGCCGAGGAAGCGTGTGCCCATCCTGAATCTCTTCACCTGGCACGGTGCATGACACAAGGTAGGGGTTAAGAGTCACTGTTGACAGCCTAAGGTGCACAGCCAGAGAAGCTAAAACCCCTGTCCAGAAACAGACGGAAGCAGAGGCGGAGATCCTCAACTAACCACTGGGCTGAGCTCCCTGAGCACAATCGAAGAGAGGGAGGAGCGATAATATGAGCAAAGGGGTCAAGACCATGATGGGGAAACCCACCGAAACAGCTGACCTGAGTTAGTGGGGCTCACTGACTCCAGACTGACAGTGGGGGAACCTGCATAGGACCAAGCTAGGCCCTCTGAATGTGGGTGACAGTTATGTGGCTTGCGCAGTCTGCGGGGTCACTGGCAGTGCTTGAACTGGTTTTTTGGAGCCCATTCTCTTTGGAGGGATACTTTACTCAGCCTAGGTATAGGGGGAAGGGCCTCAAAGTGCTGTGTCAGACTTTGCTGACTCCCCATGGGAAGACTTACCCTCTCTGAGGAGTGGAGGGGAGTGGATGGGAGCTGGGGTGGAGGGAAGGTAGGGAGAGTGGAAGGAGAGGAGGGGGGGAATGGGATTGACATGTTAAAAATGTATTAAAACAACCACAAAATAAATAAATGAGCAAATTATGCTAAAATATATCGCTTGCTTATTGAAAGCTCCCCATGCTCCCTGCAAGAAAAGAGCCCTCCAGTTACAGAGCCTCTGCTTCCCCACCTCCCCAGAAAGTGACTCTCAGCCAGGCCTTTAAAGCTAATGATTTGCTTTCTCACCTGATAACTCCAGCTAAAACCCAATTATTAAAGCATACTTAGCAGGTCTGTGTCTCCACCCACACAGCCCTGAACTTTCCTCCTGCACTCTAACGAAAGCCCAGCCCCCACCCCGAACATGACAGATGTCTTCCTGTGGGAATTCGCAGAAGCCCAGCTCCAAGGACCTTGACTCTTAGCAAGGGTTTGTTGAAGGAGCAATCGCCGGGTAGCTTAGGGTCTAACAAATCCCGGGAAGCCAACGTGCACCTGGTCCCGTCCTCACCAGAATGTTCTTTTCTGCTCGAACTGTGCACAGCATTGGTATTTTAAATTCTGGTTAAGCTACCAGACCTTTTTTTTTTTTTTTTTTTTTTTTTCCCCAAGAGCAGAGCATTACTCTATCTGCCAAGGCTGGAGTTTTATTACAAGAACTTACAACGAGGCTACAAGAGCCAAGTTTATTATTTTTTCTGGATCAGATTCAATAACCTCCTTCAAAAGTACACAAGAAAAAAAAAAAGCCAAGGAGGCATCCAACCCTTTTGTTTCCACACCTGTGGTTGAGAGTTAACTCTTTGAGCCCTAAGTGGGCTCACCCAAGCCTTGACATTGAGCTCACAGGCCAGAGCAAAGGCCGAGTTCCTCGGGAGTCTCTACAGCGTCTTCCTGGAAGTGAGCTTCTTCATCTTAGCGCTGACCTCAGCTGACTCAGAGGTCCAGGGTGGCGGCACAGTTTGGTCAGAGGGAGGAGGGCGGAGCTTTGCCCTGAGCAGTGTCCTGGCTGCCCAATGCCTCTGCTAGTCCTGGGTCCATCCTCCCATCTCCCAACTGACTCCACACTATCCCCAATCCCAAACAAACATCCCCAGATGAGCACCCCAGATGGGCGTTCAGATCGCAGAGAACCACAGGTGACCAGGTCTCGCCTTCCGTTCCACATCCTCGGCTTCAAAGTTCACTCAT